GGTTGTAACGCCTAGAAATAAGCCGTAAAAATTCAGCATTCCAAATCACAATTGAACGCTTGTTGCAGTGTTCTTTTTGGCTGCATCGGAACGAAGTCAAAGTCGGATTTTGATACTATGGAATAAGCTTTCGCAATGCCAATAAATAGTGAAGCTCTCTAGAAAAACCGACAACTACCTGTGATGTAAAATCGAGAATTCCTTGACTTTTTGATATAGTCTTCAGTGTCTGCGAACTACAAACAGTTTCACTTGCAGCAAGAGACAGATCACTTGAAGCTATTTATTTGGATCTACAATTGAATTCATCGTGAGGCAATTAATTTCTGACTGTGAGGACTTCATATTCCCATTGTCCGGTGTAAGAGAAGTCGTTCGTTGTCTTACTTTAGCTTGAGACTAAAATTTGACCATGAATTTCTGCTTATATTGCGTTTATTCTCATGGTTGTCTTGCCAAGGCCTCTTTTAAGATTAATTTGAGAGATTTGTCTGGAAGACGATAATTAACACGATACGCAGTCTGGTAAAAACTGATTCGTGATGTAATGGAAAGAGCATCGTCCTGTTCAGCAAGAATGCACGAGTTCGATCCCAGTCTTGCCAATATCTACTTAAAAATTCTTGTTGACTGGAGTCAACATAAAAATTATTATAAGACAACGACCGAGGGTATGATCATTAAAATCTAAATGAAAGGCTGTCTTGATTCGTCTAGCCAAGGTAGTCACCAAGTGGAAAACACATGTGCGCAGTAGAGCCAAACCAAAAAGAATGCATAGATTGTCAACATTTGGCTTATAAAAGCTAAAGGTTCAAATGACAACGACCGTAGAGGGCTGAAAGTGCAAGCCCAAACGATTTAGAGTTATCTTATATTCCAGAACATACTGAGCCGGCACGATAAAATCCGATATGGGATACTAAAGAAACCATTGACTACAGTCCGATGTTTGATATCGAGAACCACTTTCTGCATATCAGTAGAATCCAGTTTTAGTACATACCACGACACCTGTGCCGTTGACATTAACAGCATTGAGATACACAAATGAGATTCTCGGTGGTCCTGGTTTCCAGCACATAAGGGAAGTTTGGGCGTGAGCATTCCAAGCAATTGCACCACCATGTTAACCAGAGTTGTCAGGGACATCACTGTTGTTGAGATGATGGCATCTACACCTACCACCTTAGTGTTGCGCGGGTCATGGTCTAGCTGGCGTAGTTCTCGCATCCCACCATGCAATGCGTCGATCCTTCGTCCTTCCGAAGAGGCCAATTTCTGCACTTACTATACAGCCCACTTTCGGAAGTCCGGAAGCATCGGGTCCTATGGACGCCGTAGCATAAGTCGAGAGGCACAGTAACGGAACGTGGATTTTAATAGAGTGCCGTGAATTAAGAGTGGGTTCTGTTTTCAGGTCTCAAATTTGACGGCGGTCTGCGTAAAGACGGAACGTTAGCAGCCGTAGTAGTGGCGACTCATGCGCGCCAACTCAGCGGACTGTGTTATTGTTGCTTTTTAATTTCCTCAGGAAATGACCGTCAACTTGGAGTACACCAATTTGAATATAGGATTATAGACGCAGACCGAGATTTGACATGTATATTTAGGCCGAAGTCCATAAGCCACAACTGAATAACCGCATAATATTCAGTAAATTGTCAACAGGCAGTCAGTAGTATATATTTGGATTACAGGGTACCATTCTGGCAGTAGAGGTACTAGCTAAAAGCCCAGACACGTGTTTGGCCGATATTCTGCCTCTGCATGGCACACCTACAGGGGGTTCAGCATTCCCCGCGTGCTTTCTAGTAGATACCTCCAGCTTAGAAATTGATGCGTTTTAATTTCCTCAGAAATTAACCACTAAGTTGAAGTAAATCAGTTAGGATTAAGGTTGTTGTGGGGCGGGGGGAGAGGGGCGGTCACCGATCGTTCCTACGGAACTCACTCATTCCGTTGTGCCTTACGAGCTCTCTCTCGAGCCCAACCAGCAGCCGCACAGCGGAGCATATAGGGAGACAGTCTCCCTTGTCTTTGTCGGTAGAACTAAGGTTATTCTGCCTGAGGAGTTTCATCTGTTTCACGTTTCTTCGCATATCCTTTTTTAACACAAACATCTCTTTCTGCTTCTACGCGACCGTTCGCAAATACTTCCCGGACTGATGCTTTTTGGACTTATCACTCACCCCGTACTGCACATATTTCCCGCAAAACATTTCTCCATTGTCAATGCATAATACTAAAATGTTGTAGGTTAAAATGACAAGGGTTGGAATGGACTGAGTCACTGAATTTTCTAACTTGTGAAAGAATGTAGCCAAAGAAAGGATAGCTTATAAAAACCAGGTACACCGGAACAGTTTGACTATTTATTAGCAGCAAATAGGGGCAACCCAAGGAAATTTGGTCTAGCGGATAACTCCCTTGAAGATACCCCCGAAAAAGGGAGGCTTCCACGAAACTTGTTAGTGCTTTCCAGTTATTCTTGCCTCTCCTGTCGCCCCCAACTGGCGATTCACATCAGGGAAAATAGCGCAGTGGATGGGACTGTAAGCATCCACACATTGCACTGCGTGACCTACAACGTGGACATCCGATCGCCGATGCGTCAGCACGAATAATGATCCCCGATACTGAGGACAACGATGGTATTTTATTGCCAGTCGAATGTTGTGTAGGGATTTGCATTCAGTCTTATGAATATATAATATAATTAGGGCTTAAGCAACTTTTAACTGTCCAATGAACCGAGTGGGATATTTTACTTCATTGTGTAAGCTGTACCTCTGCGTTAGAGGCACACACTTATTAATATGCAGTTTTATTGTTCATTTTTGAGTAATAATTCGAATTCCTACACTAATTTTGGTGAAACCTGCAATAAAGTCGAGAAGTGGAACTTGTGCGCGTTCGAAAGCTCAGGCTAGTAATTTAAGGGCTCTCAACATCGTCTTTTTCTTAACTAATTTATACCAATGAGTGCATATTTCCTTTACAAAAAACCTGTGTTTTGTACGTGGGTCTTTTGTCCAAATATTTTACTATTCTGCTCGCAAGAATGTACTTTCCGAACCTCCAAATTGTTTTTGAGTTTAAGCAAAATAAGTGCAAGCAAAGTATCACCATGTAGTTCAGAAACCATATTAGTTGTCTATAAATACTTATGCAGGAAGATGCACCTTGATGAAGGCGTTATTAGGAATAACACTCATAACACAACCGACAGACATCTTTTCCCATCAAGTGACATTAAGCATTCTCCAATCATTTGTTCGTATTTTTTCCTTTGCCAATCTGATTATTAAAGCTTCTCCCAAAACAACCTGCAACCTTATTAGCTTGTTGTGCAATTGTGCAAGAAAGTGTTGCTCTTTCCTGCCATCTACGTGGTTTTCGGGAATATTAATAGGTATTGTTCCTAAAACCTGTCATAACAGAACATTTCCTCATCTCAGAAGAACTTTCTTATAAAAGCCTAGGTAAGCGGTAATGCGGTGGAGGTGGTCTGTTGCCTCTAACGCGGCAGGCGCATGTCCATTCTGGAGCGCATTGGCCATTTCTATCAGCCCTTCGGATATCAGGACAAAACTGACACTCCCATAAGGAATCCTGCAGGAAAATCCAGGTATACATTTGCCAAACGGTTAAAAGTCGTGTTTATCCACAATTGCCTTTGGAGGGGCGTAAGCGCTTGCCGTAGGTATGGCAAATCATACAACATGTGTATGCTGCTGACTACCCGATGGCAGCTTATGAGTATTGTGCGGTCATTCCGCTGAAGTTGATGGAATTCGGTCCAAATATTCCTAATAACTTTCGGACTACACTTATAAAGCTTCACCTCGAAGGATTTGTTTCACTTTGGTTTATTAAGTTTTGGAGAGATGAAAAAGCTGAAATGTTAAAACTGAAGTGGCGACCAGAAAGCCCCCGGGGAACGCTGGGGAACCCGTTGGTGAGGCTAACACCTTGTCGCTGTGTCATGCAGCGGCAGATTACCGGCGAAACAGATGTACGGTCCTTTAGCTGGTTCCTGCGCTGCCAGTATGGTGAATCGTACAGCATATTGACGTTTGTCTTAGTGTCAAATTCGCAACTCCTCTTCTACAGTAGTAATTTTTATTTGCATTTATGGCTCTCTTCTGGCAAGTATTTTGATTGTATTACTAACACCTTTATAGATTGGCCAAGCTTTTCTCTGGTGCTTTTTTATCATCACATAGCCATTTAAAAAAGAATAAAACTGGACAATTCAAATCAAGACCTCTAAATTCATAAAATGCACCCATTTCCTCTTACATCAAGAGCTTAGTTAAACTGTTGTTTACCAATTTTGCTAAAGAAACCCAATCTTTTGAAATGCTGACCGAAGTTCTTAAATAGGTGGGATTGTGATAATGGCTATTATCTAACATAATCCTAAGATATTTCCGACACGCTTTTGAATGAGTTTCTTCTCGACAAAAAATGGCTACTTGTGTAGTAGGAATAGTTCCCACTGGTTTTCGATGATCTTGATGATCCAAATAAACTTTGTAGAAATAAGCGTAAGCATATTCTTTTATGTACTCGTATGGTAGATAATTACGACCTCGTCGACATTCATACATGAGGAAAGGGTATTTTTGACATTAAGAAAATGTTTTCCATTCCTTATTGATTTCGAACTTGACCTGCAGCTGCACTTGCGTTTAGTGTTTCCAATATACGTGCCGTAAACTTTACGCGTAATGAAAAGTATATATCTGTCTGCACTATTAAGATGCCATGTAGGGTTTATAAAATTTTACAGCGGATGCGGACCATGTTTGGTACTTGGTAGATAGCATTGACACACGGATGGATAAAACGCTGTGTGAATGGACGTTCGAACGTCTTACAAAATCTTATAGTAACAAACATGTTTGAAACCGAATGAGGCCCGTTGTGAAAGATAAAAGATGAAGAAGACTCCGCTTGTTTCCGACTGAATAAAAAGGCGTAAGCGCTTGCCGTCAGTATGGCGAATCATACAGCATGTTATTCCATTCGTTATGATCCGTGTACTCTTGGACCTCCTCGGCTTTGGAAGCCGTCCAAGCATCCTCCATCTCCCGCAGCCGCTGTTGCACAAGACGGCGTCTACGGTAGAAGGCTGCTTCCTTGTCGTCGGTAGGGCGGTTGGCGTAGGCTTTGTGCAGGCGGTTCTTCTCGGCGAGTTGGTTGCTAATAGCGGAGTCATTGTCGTCCAACCAGTCCTGATGTTGGTGGCGTGCGCGACCGAGTACAGCCAGGGCGGTTGACTGGACCGTGTCCCTCAGTTGGCACCATCGGTTCTCCACGGAGGCGTCCTCGTCGTCGGCGGCGGCGACTGGAAGTTTAGCTAGTCGTTGAGTTAGTTCATTGCTAAGATGGAAATGATGAGCGGGCGCATTCAATAAAGCAGTATTCAACTAACCTGCTGGTCGCTTACCTTGAGGATTCCCGCGTGGCTGTAGGCGGATAATCATCTTGGAGATGACGAGGCAATGGTCCGTCCACCCGTTGGCATCCGGGATCGCCTTTGTCACCAGCACATCCTGCTGATCTCGCCTCAGGACGAGAACATAGTCCAGCAGCTGACAGCGCACAGACCGGGAATGCATCCAGCCGGCCATCTTCCTCATCGGCAGGCGAAAGAAGGTGTTGGTCAGGATGAGACAGTGTTCTGCGCAGGTTCGTAGGAGGAGCAGACACTGTCATTGGAACCGCCGAGACCGTGGGGTCCCAGCGTTCCTCTCCAGGCAGCATGTTCTGTGCCGACGCGGGCGTTGAAGTCACCAAGGATAAATCAACTTATCCGCCTTCGGCACGGTCGCCAGGAGGGCGTGCAGGTCCTCGTATAATTTGTTCCTTGCAGTGTCAGGACTGGTCATCGGGGGAGCATGGACGCTGATGATGGTGGCGAATGTACCTCCCCGGAGAGGCAGGCGGAGGCTCATCAGGCAGTCGTTAATGCCCTGCGGCCGACAGGGTAGTAGTCCCACCATGTCCCTCCGGATGACAAAACCGATGCCCGCATCTTGTCGCTCTGCCTTGAGGCGACCGCTCCAGAAGAAGGTGTGGCCGTCACCCACCTCCTCTATTTGGCCTTGTTCAGAGAAACGGGTCTCGCTGAGTACGACAATGCCCACTTTTTATCGCGTCAGTTCCCGCGCCGCTAGCGCCGTCCTTCGTTCCGGCCGGTTGCTCCTAGGATTGTCTGAAAGGGAAACGAACATTCTAGGCTGCCAAAGTGAGCGGACTCACCCTAGCTGCCAGTGGGATGGCACACAGGGGATGATGATGATGGTGGTGGTGGCGATGGTGATGATGATGATGATGTTGGTGTTGGTGGTGATGATGATGACGGTGATGTTGATGGTGGTGGTGGTGGTGGTGGCGGCGGCGGCGGTGGTGGTGGTGATGGTGGTGGTGGTGGTGGTGATGGTGGTGGTGATGATGGTGATGGTGATGGTGATGATGACGAAGAAAGGGACTATTTTGTCTTGTTTTTTTGTTTGCGACCGCATGCTAAGCAGTCTGCGAGCCACGGTCTGCGCGCAGATGTGAACCCAGCATTAGTTTGGGGCACCTTTTTATAATCGCCTCCTCTTCGCGGTGAAAGCAGTGCCCTCCGTAAATAGGGCTGCGTTTACGCACGAAATGGCTGCCACTCTCTATGGCTGTGTGCACTCTTGTTCGCCACTTTGTATCGCTGCCCTTCTGTCTTCACCACCTTGCCGGTCAATACGATGTCTGGCTGTACCATGCGGCGCTTGTCACTGCCATCGCATAATCTTGAGGTCAATCAGCGCAGCTTCTTCGATGGTTGGCTAAGAGCAGACGCAACCAATCAATGGGTTGCAACAACAAGGATTTTACACGAGACGCAGCCCTTGAGGACGTGACACTTACACGGAACACAGGCTCTCATAACACACTAGCAAGGACAGCCTGTGGTGACTGCATTCATGGCCTCTTGTATTCTCTCGCATTTCATTAAAACTTGTTCCGTCTGATCTGTCTTCCCGGACTCCTAAGTCAGGAACCTTCAGGTCAGCTAATCATCAGTATGGGTCACGGGGTTTGGTGCGAGAACGACCCGATTTGCCTGGGTCGTCTGCGTGATTGTATGCCGCCACCGCCGTAGGACGTTTGGACCGTGGGGGAAGAGAATGGAGTAGAGAGGAGAGAGAGTACAGTGTGGGCAGATGGGGAAATGGGGCAGGCGAATAGCGGACGGGGGGAGTGAAGGGGAAGATGGACTGATTTACTGAAGCTGCTTCTAGAGTAAGGGAGGGGAGTCGGTTGTCCTGTGCTCGCATTCCCCGATTCCACCTCGAACTCCAACGACCGAGTCTTATGTCGAAAACGGCTTGGACAACTGCACTCATGTGTTCGTCCGGCGTGACCGTGTGCGCAAGCCTGGTGGGGAGGAGAAAGTGCGGCCGGTGTTGTGCAAGTCACCGTGCCTGTCTTACCTTGCTGTGGAGCACAGGTTGGATACCGTTGGTCATGACAGTTGAATCGCCATTTCTCTTAAAATCCAAATATAGCGGGCAGACCCAGTTGAACCATAACTCGGTCCGTAGTCTGATAAAGGGGCGATTACCTGTTGTTAACGGACTCTACGGTGGAAATACCCAAAGCCATCGGACAAATCGGACTAATTACAGTTTAGTTCTGTTAGGGGCATGGAGAGGGCAGAAGGAAGGGAAATCCGCCAGTGAACTAAATTGTAATTGCTGGTTCTGACGTGTCTAAAATCAGGCTATTTCCAGCTTCGTGTCGATTAGCGTGTGAAGTCTAACTGGACAGCAGGCATTATGTTCCATGTGGCGGTGCGGCCGTGATTCGTGACCTTTTCGCACGTAATCCAATCACGCCTGGAGGTGCTACTGCTGCACTGTTCGAGTTTGCTTAGATCTCAGTCTGCCCATTTCATAGCCAACCATTGCTGAAGACTACTTCAAAATCCACCTCAGGAGACGTCGGCGTTTCGCGGATGGACTAACAGGCTGGCCTTAACTTCCAAAGGATCCCGTAAGCCAGGTCTTTCTCGACTGAGCCCGCTTTAAGTGCTGCGCAAACATTGATGGACCTGCCTGCTATCACTATCGTCAGCGCCACCGCCGCGAGTTACAACCTCCGTCAACGCCGTGACGTCAATCGATGCCTCTCTCTACCGATTGGACATACCCGGACGAAGGCTCGAGCGGATGCACCAGCTAACACTTGTCTGGTGAGAGCGCTTTCAGCGACCGCTTGCCGAGCTTTCTGTGCGCTTTTTGTCTAAGCAAAGCTTGTCCAACCCAATTTGTCTCCCTTGACTTTTGGTGTGGGAACCTTCGTGCTGTCAACCATTGCGAACTCGTGCCCTCTCCCCCTATAGGCAGACACGTATGCTCGTCGTTAATTGCTTACGCTTTAAAGCAGTCCATGTTGCCGGTATTGGATAAACCGGCAACGGCAGGCCGAAGGACCCCAACTAGCTGTCGGTAGACTGTAGATCGTGTGGAAAATATAGTTAAGCACGTTAGGCTGGTAGCTCCGCCCAAAAGCATAGAAAAAACAAAGATAAACTGAGTATGAATTGAGGGACGACGGGAATGTATGCCTGGGGAAGGCTGTTATTCGACGATCAGGCACTTACAAGATGGAATGCCATGACATACGCGGCTGGATACCGTATCTGCATACATTCACCACGTTACTCGAAAGTACCAACCTTGAAGCCGACCGTCCTCTGTGTTTTCCTTTATTCCGCCAGCTTACTTTCCAGCGTGCCGCCCCATCCGCAATCCACCTTCCCCCCTGTCCCCATTCTCGTATGACAATCCACAGTCTGCCGACAGCTGATTGGGGTCCCTCACCCTACCGATGTCGATGACCCAGTTCAACATGCATGTGGGCGCGCGGTGACGTCGGCTGGCTAGCCGAGACCGTTGTTTGTCAAATAACAGCCCCTCAACCAACTTGAGCTCTGAAACGGAAGCTCGTATTCATCAACCTATTAAGGCTAGTACCCGGCTGATTTGTTATGTCTGTTAAACAGGTGGATGTCTGCACGCGGCGGCTGTGACACTTAAAGACATCACGGACTCTGACGGGGTTTTTACATAAAAAGACTACCGGCATATTCCTCTGAATTAAGAAAAACTGGACTGGGACAGGAGTTCTGTTTAACAAGTCTCGTGTACCCCAACTATCATTTTTCCACTTCGAGGCTGCGACACTATCTCCGGTAGGCTTCACCTACAGAATTCTCAGAGGACGGGCACTGATGCGACTCAGGCAAACCATTGGCTGCTAACAAATCAAGGAATTATTAAGCCATATATTATCGAGGCCCCAAGTTCGTCTGCAATATATAGCTGTCCCAGTCGGACCGCATGCGTCCCTGTCACTAAACAAACGCATTTACGCAGATGGGTGTGGCGGCCTTTGGAAATCTATAAAAGCGCTCCCCCTTCTTTAGGTGGCTATTCTTGGCAGGCAGTGCTGACCAAACAAAGCTAAAGGTAGTGTCGTAGACATCTAGTTCTAGAGACAGGAACAGTAAGAAACCATTTCCCCGCTAGTGTGCAACGAAGTTAAGGCAGGCTGGCGGAATGGAAGAAGTACAAAGTATCTCAACTAGTAATCAATGGTCTCCGAGTTAGTGCAGAAACAGTAAATCATATGCCGAATGGCATTACCGACAAAGACAAGGGAGACTGTCTTTGTCGGTAATGCCGTTCTGCCTATATCATGCGCCGCTGTGCGGCTGCTGGTTGGGCTCCAGCAAGAGCCCATAAGGCACAACGGAATGAGTGAGTCCCGTAAGAATGATCGGTGAGCGGCCCCTCCCATAGTAAATCATATATCCACGTAACCCGATGTTTAATCAACCGACACACTGCCTAAAGCGATACAGAAATGCGACAAATGACGCCTAGAGCGCAAGGTCTTGGAAAGATGTAGAAACCTAAAGCGGTAGGAGATGTTGATGTACAGAAATTTCCACTTGCATCCTTAAGTATTGACAATGCAGAAATTAACAGAATATACCCCCAAGTTAACGACCAATGCAGAATTAACTTTGCACTGTTATTCCCCTAATATTCTATACGCCAGTATGAAAGGGAAGAGTTTCGCTGACTCCTTCGGCTTTTATCCAGAGTCAACGAATCCCAAAGACGCTGGTAACAAGGCGGGTTGGACGTAATTTTTAAAGTAATTATTTATTAAGAATCGCAGAGACAGTCAGTTAAAAGTAAAACATGTGAAACAGGTGTTAACGTATATTTTACAGGAATACATCGGAGAAAAACAGCCCGTGGAGGAAGGTGACCATTATAGTCAGTCGGTTTTAGGCAGCCGTCACACGTAACTGGGCATTAATACGCAGGAGCTTATTGAGCAAACACCTATAATGATCAAAAGAAAGGACAATATTAAGTTAAAATGAATCAGTCAAAGAAAGGATCCTGAGAAAGCAGAAGATGTCGGACTATCACTCCGAGTAGTTGAGGTCGGTGCAGGGTGTAGAGGTGTCCAGGTGTGGTCCTTGTGAAGGTCTTTGCAGGTCGCTCACTTGCTTGCAGATGTTGACAACGCCTAGCGTCCATTGACTGGCACACAACTATCATATGTGGTTCCTAGAAGCTAGGCTCTACTTAGCGGCCAAACCACGGTAACCGCCTCGACCGTCGGGCTAAACCAGGTGAGGGTATCAGTGTTTGCATCCCCCACACGGTAATTCTGTGCCCTATCCTGCCTACTTGACCCTCCCAATGATCCGCCCTTTTCCTCCCCTCCGCCTTTTCTCCCGCTGCCTCCGTTGCTACCCCCAATCGCCTCCGAGCTTCTGTCCCCCCCGCCCTGCCCCTCCATCTCTATTCTCAAATCTACTTTTATCCCCCATAGTCGAAAAGGCCTACAAGGAGGGCGACATACAATCACGTGGGCGGCCTAGGCAAATCGGGACGTGTTCTCACTAAACTCAGTGACCCATAGTGGAGAGCGGCAGCCGTCTCGTGCGTAAAAGCAGCCCTATTTACGGAGGGCACTGCTTTCACCGCGAAGAGGAGGCAGTTATAAAAAGGTGCCCCAAACTAATGCTGGGTTCACATCTGCGCGCAGACCGTGGCTCGCAGACTGCGTAGCATGCGGTCGCAACCAAAAAACAAGACAAAATAGTCCATTTCTTCGCCGCCATCATCATCATCACCATCACCATCATCACCACCACCACCATCATCATCATCATCATCATCATCATCATCGTCGTCGTCGTCGTCATCATCATCATCATCATCCCCTGTGCGCCATCCCACTGGCAGCTAGGGTGAGTCCGCTCACTTTGGCAGCCTGGAATGTTCGTTTCCCTTTTAGACAATCCTAGGAGCAACCGGCCGGAACGAAGGACGGCGCTAGCGGCGCGGGAACTGACGCGATAAAAAGTGGGCATTGTCGTACTCAGCGAGACCCGTTTCTCTGAACAAGGCCAACTGGAGCGGTCGCCTCAAGGCAGAGCGACAAGACGCATACATCGCTTTTGTCATCCGGAAGGACATGGTGGGACTACTACCCTGTCAGCCGCAGGGCATTAACGACTGCC